GTTTCCTGAAGCTACACTTCTGACAGCCATTTCTCAGCTTCCTTCAGGGTCTCCTTTTCTTTCATGTGAGGGTAAATGTTGGTGTCTGTACCATTTTCTTCCCTACTGTTTTCTTTTGTGTAACTATACATATTGGCTAAGCAGCCTCATTCACCGTGGTATCAGCTATAGCCCAGATGCTGAGAAGTTTCAAATCTGGCTCTAACTCCTCTTTTCTGTTTCTCGGTGTTCTATCCCAAATGCCCACTGGATCCCCTAGCTGGTATCAGGCATTTTAAAACCAAAACACCAATATGAACCTCACTGTCTTCCCTTGAATATCTACGATCCATTCTGCCTTCTATTTACGTCATAGCTCCTCACTTTGAAACCTTGATGAGATCTTTGATCCTCTTCCTTCTCCCCAGGTCCATCTGGCCGTGACCACAAAGTATTAATTGTGCTGTGACTCTCAATCCTCTGCAGCATTTTCACAGCTATTGGTCTGAGTATAATCTCCTTCTCTCATCAATGCTGTTCAGTCGACTCCTGGCTGGAGTCCTCCAGTTTCTTCACCCTGTTTGGCCATTTTCTTCCTACATGGAGTACTACCAGGGCCTCCATCTGTCTGTCTCTTCAGAATTCTCTTTAGAATACGCATTGAGTAATTGGCCTCAGCCTACCTTTCCTATTTCATTCTATCTTATATTCTACTCACAATTGGCCACTCAAAAGAACATAAATATACATATTCATATCTCTGTGCCTTTTGAGTTAATTACTTTATAAAAGCTTGATCATCCTTCAGAGCTAACTCAAGAATCAGTTACTATATATGGCTGTCCCTAATCAATTTAGACAGAATTAAGTATTTTCCCTTCTATCCTTTTACTACATTTATCCTATACAGAGCTTTTGACATTATATTATAGTCGACTGTGTGCCTTTTCTTCCACCAGAAAGATCTCATTAAGGACAGTGAATATACACTCTTTCATCCGCAGCCCCGAGCGTGCAGTACATTTGCTAAATGTTTTAGAGTTCATATATGACTAAATGACTGTTTAAGTGATCTTCATAAAAAGAGAAGCTGTAGAAATATTATCAGTATTCAACCTTTTAGTTTTCAACATCCATAAAAGTTTATTCAAATTAATTACATGTTTTCTTTATTAATTGGCAAAAGATATGGCCACTTTTACTCAATATATAAGCATTTTCTTTCTAGGAGAGTTTACTCCAGAAATGCAATTGCGGATAAGGCAAGAAATTGAGAAGGAAAAGAAAACAGAACCTTGGAAAGAAAAATTCTTTGAAAGGTTTTATGGAGAAAAGTAAGTGCTAGAGCATTTTTTTTCTTCTCATTTCTCTTAGAAGGAAATGAAAATGTAATTCTCTGCTTCACATAGCACACGCATATGCTGTAAAACTTAATAAACCTGTGATAAAAGGCAATAGTCCCTTAGTNATTGGGAATGATTTTGCCTCTTAAGGGACATTTGTTGATGTTTGGAGACACTTTTAATTTTCACATCTGGGAGAGGGCGGCTACTGTTACCTAGTGGGTAGAAGTCAGGGATGTTGCAGGACATGCTCCCACAATAAAGAAGTATCTGGACCTAAATGACAATAGCGCCAAGGTTGAGAAACCCTGCCCTAGTAGATGATTCCCCCGAGAACATGGAAATCCAATCCCACATTAGAAGCTTTGGGGACAAGAAGTACACAGGCTTCAGGTGGTTCCCTAGTAGTGATGGTACAAAGGTTCATTCATTCCACCCATTGGTTCCCAGACCCATGTCTTCTAGCTGTTGAGAACACAGCCAGCAGATAGCATCCACTGGTTCAGTGCATGTACTGCATTCCAGAGTATAGTGTCCTAGAGTGTCCAATCAAAAGATGGGAAGGCTGGGACATTTATCCACACACATCTTGGTAAGACCATGAGGTGGGACACTGGCATGGTGATATATAATAGCTGTGCATTAACAGCTCTGCTGAACTCACGCGGGTGAAAGAGATGTACAAAGACCAGAAGCTTCTGCTCTATGTAGAAAATATTCAAAATAAAAGGGCAGGAGCTTTTTCTTTATCACCACTGTGTTGCCAGCACCCATGCAGGTGCCAGATTTATAGATTCATATGAGTGGCTCAATAATTATGTGTTGAATAAAGATGAAATAACTGAGTGAGTAAATAATGAATCAGTGAAATCGTGCCTGAAATTTTCCAAGGGTATTGAATATTTTAGTGTTCCTTAAATGAAGAAACTTAGGATACAGTTAGATGAATATTTTTTAGATGAAGAAACTCAGGGTCTCAAATCTGTGGCTTTCCTATAAATGTCATGATGGCAGCTTTTGACATATATCACATTTGTTCACAGTGTCTCTCTTTTCTGGATTCGATTGATCATTATCCAGATTAAAGTAATTAGTATAATATTTATTTCTAGATTCAGTGCTCTCCTCTGCTCCTGAATGGTGTTTTAACTGACACATTCATGAAGGCATTATTTAAGTTAAATTTTAAAATAGGGATAGTATTTCAGTGGGTGAAGATGGAGTGTAAAGAAGACCACAAACAAACAGAAACATGGGGATAAGAAATTTCTGAGTGCATTTTCTGGTAACACTAATTCAAGCTTATGACATATGAAATGTGTATATAGGAGCAAGAGAACATCTTTGAAACTACAATTGGAGCTACAGTTTGCCAGGCCTTTGAGTAGCAGGCTAAAACATCCTCAGACCTTCATAAACGGTCCTGTTACTGACTGTCTGTGATATCCTGCCTCTATAATAAAGCCCACACTCTCTAATGGACTGTACCTATTATTTCTAAAACCCTTCTGTCCAAATCCTGTCATTCTCTCACGACCCTGTACCAGTGTCCCCTCTGTTGTCTAGTTCCTCCCAACCAATCATGTCCACATGGATATCTTCCCCTAGCTTTTATTGTTTGCACTTCTTAATTCCCACTCACCTAGTGCTTAGAATTGTCTAGCTATTCATGTGCTGTATCTTCACTCTTGAACTGTAATACATAAGAAGCCATCCAGGACTCCATTAATTCTCTCTCTCCTCAGTGTCAGAATACTTGCACATGGAAAATGCAGTCAATACTTGGAAAGTCGAAGGCATCCAGCTTGGCGATCCTTATCTGGATCTCTTGTATACGTGAATTTTTTTATTTAGTATGTTTGAGGGAAAAGGTTAGTCGCACATACTTTAAACTTTGCCGTGTATCTGATTTTGTGTGCATCCCAAGCAGTGAGAAGAGGAGAATGAGGGGCGTTAGGATCTGTATGACAGTGTGGGTATATTTGTTTTATTATGTTTCAGAACGTTTTGTTGTCGAAATCTCAGACAACAAAAGAATCCAAGCGATCAGACTGGATTTCTTTAGCTTTCACAAGTTTTAGAAAATGTAATTTAGAAAACCTAATCTGAAGGTGTAAACATATGTTGATTTTTTAATTTGACACAATTTAAGGCCTATTCGAATAATAAACATATAAAACTTTTTGGATTAAACCACACACATTTGTTATATTCACCACCAATAATGGAAATGCCTAATAAAGATTGCCTTTAAATTGATGTCTTTTGTCGTTATAATAGTCACTGTAAACAGTGCAGTGTTCACACTAGGAAATTCATCTTTTGTTAGGTTCTTTTCCTCCCTTCCTACTACCTGCACTTGGAGAGCGAGTGAGAGAGAGAGAGAGACACACACACACACACACCCACACCATCCTCAGTTTTCGCTTACACACACACACACACACACACACACACACACACACACACACCCTCATCCTCAGTTTTCGCTTCTTTCCTGCATACCTTTGCTTTGAATTATTCTTGATAGAATCTTGTTTTTTGTCGGCTTATTTCCTAGATGGGAAGTGATGGAATTTTACGCCTCAGTACTTCAGCTCTAAATAATGAATTCTTTGCATATGCAGCACAGGGATGGAAACAGCGACTGGCAGAAGGTAAATTTCTGTTTTCCATTATTTTTTGACATATTTGAGTACACATACTGTCCAGAGCTTTGCATCTTTCTCTGCTTTCCACATCTTTTTTTCCCCCTGAAGTATACTTTAATCTAGTAAAAACTCACATCCTATTCCAAGTAACTTCACTAATTCTTTTCTTATACTTGGCATTTTTAATATTCGATATTTTTAAAGAAAGCATGATGTTATCTGGAACATAATAAAAAATTTGATATAGCAAGATTTTCTTTGGAATGGTAATTTTAATTCCTTGTTTGACACATTATGTATTCTATTAATGTCTTGGAGTCCAAAGAATCTTCTTTTAATACTTTCTTCCCTTGAAGACACCGTTTCACCTTATCCTTCCTTTAGTCACCAGGCTTCTTGGAAGACTAAAAAACTACCCATACCACATTTTTGCTCCCTTAACCACTCAAACCATCATAGTTGGGTGCGGCCCCACTAATGCAATTGCAGTAATCTCTCCCAGAGAATACCATGGCTTTCTAACGGCCAAGTTCAGTTTCCTCTTCTCCGTTCTTACACCTCATGTTCCTTCTCCAATATCTCATGTTTTTTATCTCATCCAGTTTGAAGCCATCTACCTTAGATATCCATAATATGCTTTAAATTGTTTCCTGAAGCTACACTTCTGACAGCCATTTCTCAGCTTCCTTCAGGGTCTCCTTTTCTTTCATGTGAGGGTAAATGTTGGTGTCTGTACCATTTTCTTCCCTACTGTTTTCTTTTGTGTAACTATACATATTGGCTAAGCAGCCTCATTCACCGTGGTATCAGCTATAGCCCAGATGCTGAGAAGTTTCAAATCTGGCTCTAACTCCTCTTT